CTCCGGGACTGTCACCTGCGACTACTTCCGTTACTGTATCCACGGCCACTAAAAACAACGAAATAACTGCCATTATTTTCCCCTGGCAACAAGGCATTATGGAGTGCTGTTCTCGCCCTTTCTCCTCTCTGTTTACATAGGGAAGGCCAGGACTCGTCTGAATACCATAATTTGATAGAAAGGGATTTAAAAACTACGTTAATAAAGTTATCAAGCACTCTGATCTATTATAACAGGGTAAAATATGACTTAAAATACCAGCACTCGACTTACCTCTTTACATGGGTAAGGCCTAGACTCGTCTGACGAGAAATCGTTAAAATAACAAACTCATTGCTTTCCCAAAATGAATTGCTAGCATCTAAAAATACAAATCACTTATAAGTGAGTATTATAATTTACTCTTATTTGTTATAACACTAAATTTTGCTATAATGATATGCCTGTAGATTTTTGAAAAGATATAAACAAATGTTTCAGTGACGAACATACATCTTTGAAATCAGAAACAGTGCACCTTTTAAATGTCAAATAAATAATGATCTCGACATATATATACATATATACATATATATACATACATAATATATATATATATATATATATATATATATATATATATATATATATATATACATTCATGTGTATGTCTGTGTTTGTATGTGTGTGTGTCTGTGTTTGTGTGTGTGTCCGTGTGTCGGTGCATCCCCTCATCTCCAGCACCTAATCTGGATTCCTTCGAGACGATCCAATCCAAAACACCTTATTATCTCGTCTCATCCAATCCCCTACAGCAGAGCTTTCAATCAATAAACTGTAATCATTTCCGGAATCCAATTATCTATTCCGGAAGCTGATCGACCCTGAGGCGAGATCTATTGCTTATTTGTGCTGCGAATACGGTGGATGAAGAGAAAGGGAGGAAAAAGAGGGAGTTGAGGGAGAGGGTGGGAGAAGGGAGGGAAGGGGGGTTATGAAGGCAGTGAGGAAGGAAGGAGGGAAGGTAGGAAGGTGAGAGGGAGGGAGGGAGAGGGAGAGAGAAAGAGAAGTTATTTTCGGTTTTAAGAATCTTCATTTGTTTTTCTTTTTCTGTTTCTTTCCTTCTCTTCTATTCTATTCTCTCACTCACTCACTCACTCACTCACTCACTCACTCACTCACTCTCTCTCTCTCTCTCTCTCTCTCTCTCTCTCTCTCTCTCTCTCTCTCTCTCTCTCTCTCTCTCTCTCTCTCTCTCTTCTCTCTCTCTCTCTCTCTCTCTCTCTCTCTCTCTCTCTTTCTCTCTCTCTCTCTCTCTCTCTCTCACACACACAAACACATAAACCAAATATAGGAATATCAAGAAAAAAAAACAACAAAATCAAATCACATTTTATTAGCATAAAAGTTCACATATATACATATATATTCCGTTAGTTTGGCATTAGATGCTCTGAATCTGGATCCACAGTGTGAATAACTAGTTGATTAGACCCTGTATGGAAAAAGATTGGGTTTGGGAGATTGGGAAACAGAAGAGATCACATTAAACACTAATCATAATAAGGACAATAAAAGGGAATTAAAAAATGACGATAAAATGAAATAAGGAAAATCAAATCGTTAAAGATATACAGATATCAAAATATTGAAGACGTAGAGATAATTATAATGATGATTAAAAAGGGAATGAAATAAATGATTTTGAAGGTATATGTTGAAACCAAATAACACAGATAATAATATGAAAAATTGATCACTGATTGACACATCGATTTTTTTTTTTTTTTTAATAAAGAATGATGATGATAATGAAAAATCGAGACCCAAAAATAGAACTTTTGAAAAAATCATATTAATAAAAAAGATTGACATTAAAATCAAATACTAGACAAAATTACTCTCAAAGATAATGAAAAGATAACACGGATCTCAACATTAACATCTAGACATCAGTCGTAGTAATTAAATTCAGTCTTAATTTTTTTTTTTTTATAACATTACAATGGCTGCACTTTACTCGCAACCAAAAGCATATTTTAACGCAATTCCTCATATCAGTATAAGCTATTTTTTTGCACTATTTTTTCCCCTCTCGCTCTACTTGTTCCCTAAATGCATAACTTTATTCTTTGTGCTGCGACTTTCCATAACATCTCTCTCTCTCTTCTCTCTCTCTCTCTCTCTCTCTCTCTCTCTCTCTCTCTCTCTCTCTCTCTCTCTCTCTCTCTCTCTCTCTCTCTCTCTCTTGATATATTTATCTACTCCAAGTCTTTCTTTCCGTGGCTGATTTAATCTAATTCACTCTCTTTTCTTTTCTCTTATTTACCAACAATTATCTCCACTAATCGATCAATTTCCCTCTATTTTCAGGACGAAAGATAAAGAATAACATAAGAATAATCATCGTTTCATTTACATATGGTTTCCACTGCCTTCTCAACGTTCGAAACAGTGAACGGCGAAAATTAATTATATCTGATTTGTTCGGATCGGTGACTGATGACTTCGAGCGCGGTTCGTTAACTTGTCACTTTCAGCTTAATTAACTCTTTCTCGTCTCTTTTATTTATTTTTTTTATAGAATCGGTGGTGGACTCTCTCTCTCTCTCTCTCTCTTCTCTCTCTCTCTCTCTCTCCTCTCTCTCTCTCTCTCTCTCTCTCTCTCTCTCTCTCTCTCTCTCTCTCTGACTCTCATTCTCCCTCTCCTTTCTTTCTCTCTCCTTCTCTTCCTCCCTTCCTCTTCTGCCTCTCTCTTTTATCCGTTACATAAACTAAAATTCCTCCTTGACGTTGAAAATCTCCAATGTGTACATGGAAGTCAGCAAACTGTAAATCATAACACCATCAGCCGACGCCAAGCTACAAAGGCAAAATCCAAATCACATCCGACACTGTTTGCTCAGATCTCCCGCCAGATGTTCTGCTACACTGAGATTCAAAAAGAATAACAAAAAAAAAAAAAAAAGATGAGAGAAAAGGGAAAACACAAGAGTCAAAACAAGAATTTGCGAGTCACGTCAGTCTCTTGAACAGCGGGAATGCACAAATGAGTGAGCTAAGCTGGGAGGAAAAATATGAATGGAAGTGTAAAACGCGAAAACAAAACACTTGGGGCGTGCATTTTGTCTCTTTTTCTTGTGAATTCATTTACTTATTTTTGTTTCTTTTCCTACGACTGATATCTCCTCGACATCTATTTTCTTAATGAACAAAACAACTCACTGAAAATATAATTTAAAAATAACAATAATCATACAAATAACAAATCGAAAGATGTGACAAAAAAACAACGTAATATCCGTCTAATTATACCTATTATCTTGCCTTCACAAATCAATCTTGATACATCATTATTTCTATTTTTAACAAAGAATAAGAAAATAAAGAATTAGGCTATCTGATAACCTATTATCTGTACTTTTTTTATCGTGGGGTTACAAGGTTAGTTAAGCGATGGTTGGTCACCGAGCCTCAAGTTTATAAATACATTTCTCGTAAGCTTCAAAATGTATCGGTAATGGCAGGTATAAAAAAAATGGACAAATAAAAGAATAGAGAAGAATAAAGGAGTAAGGAGAGGGAAAGAAGAACAAAGAGAAGAATACGGAAGAATAAATAAGTAAGAAGAAGGGGAGGAGGACAAAGAGAAGAAGAATAGAGAAGGACATAGGAGTAAGAATAGGGAGAAAAGGGCAAAGATAAGAAGAAGGAAGGAAGAAGACAGGAGTAAGAAGGGGAGGCAAAGAAGGAAAAGAAAAATAAACAAGAGAGAAAGAAAATGACAAAATATCAATATCAAAGACACATACCACAAAATACATTAAAAAATAACTACATCTTGTAAGTGGAATCAGAAGAACATAAACGGTGCATAAAACATCACACAAAATACAACTTGGCAAACCAGGCCAGTATATAAGAGTTTTTTTTGGAAATTATTTCATTTCCACATTCATCATTCATTGGGCAACTATAGTCCGTCTAATCACTGGAAAAGAAAAGGAAAAACTGGCAACTCAACTCGAACCGTCAAGAACTCCGATTCGTCGTAACAATTTTTCTTTTTTCTTTTGATTAATTGAGTGTTACAAATTGAATATACATATATTTTTTTAATACTTATTTACAATATCTTTACTGTTTTTCTGTTATAAAAATGTGCTGACTTCAACACCATAGTATTATTATCTCTCAAAATATAAATTAGCGAATCGGACGAGTCCCTGAACCCGCAATGAGTTACCAGTTACTCTTTTCTTGAAATTAGACGGACTAATTAAATGAAAAGTACTGAGGATTTTCGTCTTTTCCTCAAGAATACTAGTACACACTTTTAAAAACAGAAATATCAACACACTTGTTTACTGAAAGCTGAAAGAATAGGGTGTTAACAGGTAGCTTATTCAGTCCAAAATAATAAAAAAGAGATTGGTTAGCCTACAAAGTTCAAAAATACGAATGTAGGCCTAAGTTTAAATGGGAGATGTAGGCCTATATTTAAGTCCATGTGCACATATGTTGGCCTACAGTTTAAGTCCAGATATAGATTTTCTTGGTCTAGTGTAAATTAAAAAGTTCTGTTGTTGGCCTTCAGTTTAAAAATTATTTGAAAACGTCACCATACTGAGATACTGAAGGAAATAGATACACTATAACACCCAGTGGGCCCAAATTTCTCCAGTAAAGAAAGATAAATACCCATGAAAATACTATTGAAATGAAAAAGATATAATAAAAGAATGAAAATATATAAATCCACAGCGCAAGAAATAAAAAAAAAAAAAATCCAGAGTTTTTTCTTTTAATTCCAGAATCAACTCTCTCCTCCCCCTAAAATTTTAAAAAAAAATAATAGAAAATAAAAAATTATATAAAAACTAAAACCAAAAACAAAAAAAAATCAATAAACCAACCTACAACTCCACTCACCTCCCCTCCTCCTCCTCCTCCTCCTCCTCTCCTCCTCCTTCTCTCCCCTCCTTCCCTCCTCCTCCTCCCCTCCTTCTCCTACCCCCTCCCTCAAAAAAAAATCACAAAAATCACAGCACAGCACTGAACGAAAGCATATTAATGGTAAATATGGCCACGTAGACAATGAGACAGACACGATCCACCACAGCAGAGAGCAGGAGCCAGTCTAGCCCGGGACTTGTAGTCACTTCCGGTCCTCCGTACAGGTGGGTAGTCCCGTTCTCGCCCAATTCGAGTTCGTCTGACTTGAAGGTCCTCGCGTAGGGTTGGTGGGCGCGGAGACCTGGGGGGGGGGGGGAGAAGGATGAATAAGGGGGTAGGGTAGAGGTGAGGGTTTGGGTGGGTGAGGTACGGGAGGAAGGAAGTGTGGGTGTAGGGAGGGGGGGGGGTGTGTGTGTTAGAATGTGTGAGAGAGTGGGTAGGTGGGTGGTTTTGTGTGTGTGTGAGAGAGAGAGAGTAGGTGGGTGTTTGTGTGTGTGTGTGAGAGAGAGAGATTAGGTGGGTGGTTGTGTGTGTGTGTGTGAGAGAGAGGGAGAAAGAGTGGTGGTGTGTGAGTCTGTGCGTCTGTGTACACTTCTACAATTTCTTCTATTCCTACAGTATATTTTTCCTTAGATTAAATTTTATCAATCAGCCTATTAACTCTGTTATTCTTCATATAATCAGAAATATGCTTTATTATTCACAGTATTTCAGTATACCAGTATATCATTCTTTAAGTCTATGGATATTATTACATTACCAATTACCATTAGTATACTACAATTATTACAACTATATAACCATCTTTGTTAACATTATTATCATCATTAGCATTATTATTGTTTTCATTGTCGTCATTATTACTTTATTATTATAGGTTTTATGATCACTATAATAAAAATTATTATTATTATTATTATGATTATATTATATTATTATTATTGTCATTATTATTATTATTATTATTATATATTATTATGTCATTATTATTATTATTATTATTATCATCATCATTATTATATTATATATCAACATTACTTTTATTAGCATTGTTATTTTTCTTTGATATCACTATTATTATCATTGTCATTATCATTATCATTATCATCATTATTATCATGTTATAATAATCATAATCATTATCATTATTATTATGATCATTGTTAGCATTATTATTATTACTATCATTATGATTATTATAGTCATTATTATTATCATTACCATCATCATCATTATTATCATTGTTATTGACATTATTATTATTATTATTATCACTGTTATTATTATCATTATTTGAATTATTATGGTTGTTATTATTATCATCATTCTCTTTACAATTATCATTATAATTATTATCATAACTGTTATCTTTGTTATTTCTGTCATATACTGTCATTTTCATTTTTATCCTTATTATCAATATCACAGCTATTACTACAGCTATAGTAATTTTATCATTATTTTTATTATCATTATTATCATTATTGTTACTACTATTAATAGTATTATCATAACTGTCATAATATTTATTATTACTATCATTATCATTATCATCATTATTGTCATTATTGTCATTATCATCATGACTATAATTGTCATTATTATTATCATTATCATCATTATCATCATAATTGCCATTATCATCATAATTATAATTGTCATCATTATTATCATTATCATCATCATCATCATTAGTATTAGGCTACTCATAATACTATAACAATTAGTAACACCTCCATTGTTAGTATTATTTCTACAAATATGATCGTCATTGACATTATTATTTCTATTATTAGCATCAACATTATCACTTCCATTACCATGAGGCCAAGTAAAAAAAAAAAAAAAAAAAAAAAAAAAAAAAAAAAAAAAAAAAAAAAAAAAAACGAGACAGGTTGGAATGTTTTTTTAAGATCTTTTTCAGATTTTTTTTTTTTTTGTTTTGTTTTGTTTTAAGATTTTTCTTTGATCTTTTTTAGATTTTTTTTAGATTCTTTTTAGATATTTTATTTTAGATTTTTTTTAAATATATTTTTTGGATTATATATATATGTATATATATATATTCATTTATTATTTATTCAGTTATTTATTTATTTATTATTTATTTATTAGTTTTTTTTTTTTTTTTTTTTTTTTGAGAAGGGATGTCCTGAACCTCTCCGTGGACACCACCTCACTAAACCCTGCCTCCCAGACCTATATATCACACTGGAAAAAAAAATAAAACAAATTTCAATTTACAAAATACAAATCTTATTTATCTTTTAAAAGCCTCAGTCAGAGGGTTGTCCTAATATGGAGATGGTGCACGTTCGCCCTATGCAGTATCGCCTTACATACGTTAGGAGTAGCAACTAAATAAAAAAAAAAAAGAGCAAGTAGCAAGAAAAAAAAACGCTGGTTTTCAAAAATCCCGCCAAAAAAACATAACCGCTAGCGCCACAACGGCTAGATTTGTAACTACCAAAGCACACTCAGCAAACCTCGGAACTGCATCACGGTGAAGGTTAGATCAGTAGCAACTCGAGGTGTCATGGCGTCTGTTTAGATGATTCGTCAGTGAAAATGTAATTTAAATCATTATTTTCCATCCTTTTTTTTGAAAATTGAAAAGATCAAAATGATCGACGATATTCACGAAGCATCTGTAAGTTTTATGACGTCATCATAATAAACAGAGGCCATGACACCTCGAGTTGCTACTGATCTAGCTCAGTGTGCCTTGGTAGTTATAAATCTAGCCGTTGTGGCGCTAGGGGTCATGTTTTTTTTTTTTTTTTTTTTGGCGGGATTTTTGAAAACCAGCGTTCAAGATTTGTGGGAATTTAGCGGTTAAAAAAATGAGTCGGCATTTTTTTAGGCAAAAATACAGTCGGTCGATTTTACCCGAACCAAATAGTATTTTTTTTTCTTTTCTTTTTTGGCCCTATTACTATCATTATTAGCATTATCATTAGTTCCCAATACCAGCACCATCACTATTATTGTTGGCGTTGTTAATTATGTCTGTTAGTGTAAATACCATTGTCTTCATTACTACTATGTGTTACTATCAACAGTATCTTATTATTATTAACACAGATATGGTTGCTTCTGTCGTTATGATTATTGTTATCATTATGTAACTAGCATTAAAAAAAGACTAGGAACTAGGAATAAAAAAAAATGAAAATTAAATAAATATGAAAATAACCACAGAATCAAATTAACAATAAAACAGTACATTTACAATATTAATATCCGGGAACGAAAGAAAAATGATAACAATAACCATAACACAACAATCCAAAAAAAGAATAAATACACCAAAAAGCAAACACCAAATCACCAAAAAAAAAAAAAAAAAAAAAAAAAAAAGCTAAATCACAAAAAAAAACAAAAACTTAAATAAAAAACAAAAGTACAGATGGGATTCCCAAGCTCACCTCCCATCGTGTGAAACCTACGATATTCTTGTAGTTGTGGAGACAGAGCGCATAGGACAGCACGATAAGGGGCCTCTTGATCACGGTGTGCAGTCCCTTTGTATAAGGATCCCGGGCCATGCGGAGGGTGAGGCTGGCGACCACTATGCTGGCCACGACGAGCATCAGCTGTTCGCATACCATCTCCACTGTTGGGGGAGAGAGGAGAGCGGGTGAGTTTGGGGAAGGAGGGAGGAGTTGGAGGGAGGGAGGGGTGGTTGGTTGGAGGGTTGGGGAGAGAGGAGAGGGGTGAGTTTGGGGAAGGGGGGAGAGAAGAAGGGAAGAGAGGAGTTGGGTGAGTTTGGGGAAGGGGAGGGTGGTTGGTTGGAGGGTTGTGGAGAGAGGAGAGGGGTGAGTTTGGGGAAGGGGGGGGGAAGAAGTTGGAGGGAGGGGAGAGGGAAGAGGGGGGTGAGTTTGGGAAAGGGAGGAGAGAAGGAAGAGTGGGGTGAGTTTGGGGAAAGGAGAAGGGAAGGGGAGGGGGAGAGAGGAGTGTGGTGTGTTTGGAGAAGGGGGGAGAGAAGGAGTGGGGTGAGTTTGGGGAGGAGTTGGAGGGAGGGAGAGGGGTGGTTGGTTAGAGCGTTGGGGGAGAGAGGAGATGGGGTGAGTTTGGGGAAGGGGGGGAGGAGTTGGAGGGAGAGAAGAAGGGAGGGGAGGGGGAGAGAGGAGAGGGGTGAGTCTGGGGAAGGGAGTTGGAGGGAGGGAGGTGGTTGGTTGGAGGTTGGGGGGGAGGAAGGGAGAGACGAGACGGAGAGAATGGTGGTGAAGAGAGAAAATGAGAGAAGGGAGAGACAAGACGAAAGGAATGGAGGGGGAGGAAATAGAGACTGAAGGAAAGGAAGAAAAGAGGGGAGGGGGTGGAAGGGAGTAGCCCAAAGCAAGAAAGAAATGAAAAGAGTAATAAACAGAAGGAACGGAAAGGAACACAGAGTTAAAGAAATACAAAACACAAACACACACAAATTCAAATTCAATCCCCCCCCACCAAAATTTCCCACAACAACCATTCCATCCCCCCCAAAACCACCCCCAAGACCCTCCAACACCACAACACCACCCCCAGGAAATCGCTCAGAACAACACCATACCAAACACCACATTACCTATGAGCGGGATGTGCGTCGGAGCATTCGAAATCTCCATGTTGGTGTAGGCGATGAACATCACGTCAAGGATGAGACTCAGGCCCCCGAAGATGACCTTCTCCCCCGCGGCAGGAGGGAGCAGGAACACCACCAGCGTCAGGATGCAGAGTCCTGTCGCAGAAGGATGGGGGATTAAAGGGTGAAGTAAAAAAAAATAAAAAATAAAATGAATAAATAAATAATAAATAAAAATAAAAAAAGGAAAGAGAGAGAGAGAGGTGTGGGTGTGGGTGTTTTGTGTGTGTGTGTGTGTGTGTGTACGTGTTTTGTGTGTGTGCTGTGTGCGGGTGTGGGTGTGGGTAGGTGTGTTTGTTTTGTGTGTGTGTGTTGTGTGTGTGTTTGTGTTGTGTGTGTTTGTGTGTGTTTGTGTGCGTGGGGTGTGCGTGTGTGTATGTGTGTGTGCGTTAGTGTGTGTGTGTGTGAGGATGGAATATGGAATACGGCGGGTGTAGTATGAAGAATGTACGCACAAGTACTCACACATAAGCACACACACACATACATACACAGAGACAAACGTACCCACACACACACACAAATGCGAGAAATATAATTACTTTTTTAATTACGGGACCAAGTCTAAAAATAGAATATTCATTCCTCCTCCGAAAAAGTATTCATAGAAATGGAACAAAAAGAGGGAATTAGATTTTTAATAATTCGTGTCAGTCTAAAAACAGGTTGTTTTTCTTTTTTCATTTTCCGAAGAAATCTGAAAAAAACAAAAAAGTTTTTTTTTTTTTTTTTTTTTTTTTTTTTTTTTTTTTTTTTTTTTTTTTTTTTTTACTAGCATCTTATTAATGGAGAAATTCTAAAAATAGCCTGTTTACCTTTTTCCAAAAATGAGGAGTATTGAGGATATTAATAAAGATAAAAATGTGATGATGACAAACATACATAGACGATGATACTGATAACGACAAAAATAAGAAAAAAACAGGTGAAACTAATATGAAAAAAAAACAATAAGACAAAAAATAAATCATATATAAGACCAAAAAAAACTGATATGAAAAAAAACATTAATATATAAACCAAATAAATAATCTCTATAATATAAAAAATAAAAAAATAATAATAATATATAAACAAATAAAAAAAATCATATATTGCATATGAGACAAAAAAAAAAAATCACTCGAACACCTCCACAACAACCTACAGCCTCCACCGACCACCTACCTACAGCGGGCAGTTTCACCGTCCAATCGTAAGCTGGGGCATTACGGGCAACCAACATGGACACCTTGATATCTATGTAGGGTTCAGGACAACAGTCATAAACCCTCACGTTCCTCGTTATGTTGGCGTCGAGAAGGTTCCACATGCCACGGGTGAGGTTCTTCCCATCAGCTGTTTGCAGTTCGTTGATGTCGAGCTGTGGAGAGAGAGAGAGAAGGGGAATAAATTAGGAGAGAGAGAGAAATGGGAATAATTCTGGGAGAGAGAGGGGGGGGATGATTTTGAGAGAGCGAGGGAGGAATAATTCTGGGAGAGAGAAAGGGGGAATAAGTTTGGAGAGAGAGAAAGGGAATAATTTGGGAGAGAGAGAGAGAAAGGGGAATAATTAGGAGAGAAAGGGGAATAATTTGGGGAGAGAGAGAGAAAGGGGAATAAGTTTGGGAGAGAGAGAGAAAGGGGAATAAGTTTGGGAGAGAGAGAGAAAGGGGAATAAGTTTGGGAGAGAGAGAGGAGGGGAATAATTTTAGGAGAGAGAGAGAAAGGGGATAAGTTTGAGAGAGAGAGAGAAAGGGGGAATAATTCTGGGAGAGAGAGGAAGGGGAATAAATTTGGGGAGAGAGAGGGGGGGATAATTTTGGGAGAGAGCGAGGAGGAATAATTCTGGAGAGAGAAAGGGGAATAAGTTTGGGAGAGAGAGAGGGGGGATAATTTTGGGAGAGAGAGGGGAGGAGAGAGAGAGGGGGGATAATTTTGGGAGAGAGAGGGGGGGATAATTTTGGGAGAGAGAGAGAAAGGGGAATAAGTTTGGGAGAGAGAGAGGGGAATAAGTTTTTTGGGAGAGAGAGAGAAAGGGGATAATTCTGGGAGAGAGAGGAAGGGGAATAAGTTTGGAGAGAGAGAGGGGGGGAATAATTTTAGGAGAGAGAGGGGGGAATAAGTTTGGGAGAGAGAGAAGGAATAATTTGGGAGAGAGAGGGGTGGGGGATAATTCTAGGAGAGAGGTAGAAAGGGGAATAAGTTTGGGAGAGAGAGAGAAGGGGGGAATAATTTTGGGTGGATGGGGATAATGGATGAAGAGGGGGCATAGCAGAGACAGAGAGAGAGAGAGAGAAAGAGAAATAGATAGATAAAGAGAGAGAGCGAGAACGAGAGAGAGAGACAGAGACAGAGAGAGGGGGGAGAGAGAAAGAGAATGAAAGAAAGAGAGAGATAGGTAACCAGAAGACATAACAGTAAGAGAGAATCAGGGGACACCAGCAATAAACAAAGAATCTTAATGAAATAATGGTAATAGGTGATAAAAGTAAAAAGAAAGAAAACGATTTAAAAAAATGAACATCTTTTTTACTGGCGATTTTCTTTACAAAAATAAGTTAATTGGAACATAATTTGATTATACGCGCTTGTATGCGTGCGTAATTACGTGTGTGTGTGTGTGTGTGTGTGTGTGCGTGTCTGCATGTGCGTGCGTGTGTGCGTGTCTGCATGTGCGTGCGTGTGTGCGTGTCTGCATGTGCGTGCGTGCGTGCGTGTCTGCATGGTGTGTATGTGCGTGTATGTATGTGTGTTTTGCTGCCATACGTTTTTCTCTCCCAAAATAGTGTCTGCTAACTACTTCTACCTCTCGTTATTTTTTATTTTTCATTTATTTATTTATTTTATTTCATTTTATTTTATTTTATTTTTATTTTTATTATTTTTTTTTATTTATTTATTTTTTTTTTTTTTTTTTACATTATATTTCTCTTCCGCGACTTGTTATCCTTCCAATTGGAAAAGTTATACCAAGTTGTTTTTTCTTTTCCTTTTTTCTTCTTTTTCTGCTCTACGGAGTGAAAGAAAAATATATATATTTTTATATATATTTCTTTTAATAAAAATATATATATTTCTTTTTTTCTCTTGCTTCTATTGAACTTTCTGAATCCTCTGAACCTTTCTTAATCACAAAAAAAAAAAAAAAAATACCCATTTCTTTATTGATTTGTTTCTAAACTCGATCTTTCATAGGCCTAATTCCATGATAATCGCATCTATATTTATCATTGTTTTTCTTCTTTTCTTCTTCATCTTTTCCTTCTACGCACTTCCTTTTTTTTTCTCCTTCTCTTCCTTCCACGATCTTTCATAAGTCTAATTCCATGATAATCGCATCTATATTTATCATTGTTTTTCTTCTTTTCTTCGTCTTTTCCTTCTACGCACTTTTTTTTTTCTCCTTCTTTTCCTTCCACGATCTTTCATAGGTCTAATTCCATGATAATCGCATCTATATTTATCATTGTTTTTCTTCTTTTCTTCTTCTTCTTTTCCTTCGACATACTTCTGCTTTTTTTCTGTCTTTTCCTTCTACGCACTTTCTTATTTTTTCTCCTTCTCTTCCTTCCACGATCTTTCATAGGCCTAATTTCATAATAATCTTATGTATATTTTAGTTTTTTTTCTCTCTTTTTTTCTTCTTTTCTTTTTTATCCTTTTCCTTCACGCACTTTCTTATTTTTTCTCCTTCTTTTCCTTCCACGATCTTTCATAGGCCTAATTCCATGATAATCGCATCTATATTTATCATTGTTTTTCTTCTTTTCTTCTTCGTCTTTTCCTTCTACGCACTTTCTTATTTTTTCTCCTTCTCTTCCTTCCACGATCTTTCATAGGTCTAATTCCATGATAATCGCATTTATATTTATCATTGTTTTTCTTCTTTTTCTTCTTCTTCTTTTCCTTCGACATGCTTTTGTTCTGTCTTTTCCTTCTACGCACTTTCTTATTCTTTCTCCTTCTCTTCCTTCCACGATCTTTCATAGGCCTAATTCCATAATAATCTCATGTATATTTAGCATTGTTTTTCTCTTCTCTTCTTCTTCTTTTCCTTCGACATACTTCTGTTTTTTTTCTGTCTTTTCCTTCTACGCACTTTCTTATTTTTTCTCCTTCTCTTCCTTCCACGATCTTTCATAGGCCTAATTTCATAATAATCTTATGTATATCTAGCATTGTTTTCCCTTCTCTTCTTCTTCTTTTCCTTCTACATACTTTCTTTTTTATCTTTTATCTTCCACGCACTTTCTTATTTTTTTCTCCTTCTTTTCCTTCCACTTTTCTTACTACGAAGGATAGCGAAGGGGTGGGGGAGGAGGAGGGGGAAGTGGGGGGGGGGTGAGTACTTACAGAGAAGGATAAGAACGCACTTAAAAACACTTTAAAAAAAATTATATAGTGAACTACGTTTTAGCCCTTACAAGAGTCACAAAGATAATAGGTGATTTTTTGGCTTTTTTTTTTCTTTCTTTTTTTACCCTAAGGCTTCGCTACCTCTTAGGATAATGCTAAATAAGGACTTTGTTTCTTGAAGCTCTCTTATCTAAAGTTTAAACGAGAGGGAGGGGAGGGAGGGAGGGAGAGAGAGGAGGGAGGGAGGGAGGGAGAGAGAGGGGGAGGGAGGGAGGGAGAGAGAGAGAGGGAGGGGGGGAGGGAGGGAGGGGAGGGAGAGGGGGGGAGGGAGGGAGAGAGAGGGAGGAAGGGATGGAGAGAGAGAGATAGATAGAGAGAGAAGGGGGGGGAGGAGAGAGAAAGAGAGAGAGACAGAGAGAAGAGAGAAAAAAGAAGAGGAGGGAGAGAAAGAGAGAGAGAGAGAGGAATAGTCAGAAGAGGGAAACAAAGAAAATTAAAATACTCCTCTACTCCTTCCCTCACCCTTCCTACCCCACTCTCGACCTCCCCACCCGCCCCCGTCTCTCTCCCTCTCCCTTACCTCCTTCCCTCCCATCCCCCCTCCCCTCCTCCACTCCACCATCCTCCCCATCCCCCACCACCCTTCTCCCACCACCTCACACCCCACCCATCCCCACCCCCTACCCACCCCATCCCCCACCCCATCCCACCTCATCCCCACCACCCACCTACCTCCGGTTTATCATGCATCAGCTGGGGATCGATAGTGATGCCGTCGTGGATCCAGGAGCCGATGGTGAGGGTGCAGTTGTGAGTGTCATGAGGCCAGAAGGTCAGGTCCATGACACAGGTGAAGTGGAGTCTCACGGGCGAAGACGGACGCGCCCGTCATGGAACACGATGAGCAGGGTGTTCCCGTAGGAGAGGGGCTTCCCGACGTTGGCGCTAGGAGGGAGGGAGGGTGAGAGGGTGAGAGAGGGAGAGGGGGAGAGGGATGGAGGTTTTAGGGATTTTTTTTTTTTTTTTTTTTTTTTTTTTTTTTTTTTTTAGATTTTGTTGGAGGGGTTGGTTGGTAAAGGGGTATGTGGTGGGTAGTGTGTGTGTGTGTGTGTGTGTGTGTGTGTGGTGTGTGTGTGTGTGTGTGTGTGTGTGTGTGTGTGTGTGTGTTGCAAATATCAATTCATCTACATACAAATACCTATCTATCTACACACCAATATCTATCTAAATACACATTATATATCCACATACAAATATCTACATATACATACAAACATCTACCTACATCCATATCATATATACATACAAACATTTCTCTACATCCATATCATATACACACATATATACGTAAATACACATCATCTTATTACTTGTTATAGACATCGAGATCTGGTTTCCAGAGCATGGTGTGAGGGACAGAGATCTTGTACACTCGGCCATAGTCTTCCGGGTCCCATTTCAGGCGGGGGTCCACCCACTCCTGTAAGAGAAATTGGAAAGAGAATTGGTTGATAAAAAGGGTGGGATTTTGTGCGGGTATTGTTTTGTGTGTGTGTGTGTGTTTTTTTTTTTTTTTTTTTTTTTAGTTGTTTATTTATTTATTTTGATGTTGCTCTCGTTCGTTCGCTCTCGTTCTTTCTCTCTCTTTCTCTCGTTTTCTCTCTATGTCTCGCGTTTCTCTCTCTCTCTCTCGTTTTCTCTCTATGTCTCGCGTTCTCTCTCTCTCTCTCTCTCTCTCTCTCTCTCTCTCTCTCTCTCTCTCTCTCTCCTCTCTCTCTCTCTCTCTCTCTCTCTCTCTCTCTCTCTCTCTCTCTCCTAACACATACACATACAAGCCAAACACCCACACCACACACACACACACAACACACACATAAACAACACACAATATATACATAGATACATATATATAAATATATATATATATATATATATATATATATATATATATATATATATATATATATATATGAGTGAAGAACCTCGTATGGGATGTATTCTCCAAATCCGACAAGTAAATGACAAACAAATCCCTAATCCATATCCCTGTAGGATTTTTCTCGACGCCCTTGCGAGTCTCTCGGGTCGTCCTCACACCCGCGCGTCCTCCAAGGGTCATCCTCCAAGGGTCAAGGGTCAAGGGCCACGTTGAGAAGGTCAAAGGGTCATGAATTATTCGAAATGTGGATTTTATGTATAAATTGTTATCTAGGTTTAAGGTAACCAAAAAAAAAAAAAAAAAAAAAAAAAAAAAAAAAAAAACATGAAATATTATCAAAACAAAAGCAAAATAATAATAATAATAATAATAATATGATAATAATAAAGAAAAAAACAAGGAATATTTTTATCAGTAAACAAGAACCCCAAAGAACGCTTGAAAAATAAGTATTACCAAGAATTTGAAAATGATTTAGTTCACTGCATTTCTCCCACGCCTTAATGGGGCTGACATGCGCACAGTGTTGCCATGACAACGGTCTCTTGTCACTTTTAAAGGATCTTGGTGAAAGTTGAGATGAAAGAAATTGAGAGAGAGAAGAGAGAGAGAAGGGGGGGGAGGGAAAAGAGGAGAGGGAGAGGGAGAGAGGGAAGAGGGGGAAGGAGGGAGGAGGGAGGAGAGGGAGAGAGGGAGAAAGGGAGGGAGGGAAGGGAGAGAGAGGAGAGAGACAGAGACAGACAAAAGAGAGGAGAGAGACTGGCGGACACACAACACACACACACACACACACACACAGAAAAAGAGGGGAAGATAGTGTTAAAGAGAAAGAACAGAAAGAAGACGGAAAGAGTAAGAAACAAGAAGAGAAAAATTGCGAAACGGGATAATAAAGAACGAACGAGAGGAAGAGAGAAAGAATAATTCTTTATCCATGCTTCACAACAGAAAGACAGACAACATAAAACCTTTTGGTTATTATTTTTTGTCCTATTTTATTTCATTCAAACAATATATACATGAAAAAATATTCACAATGAAAGCCTATGAAAAGTAAAATACAAATATATATTGATTTCAACATTCGTTTTGAAATGAGAGAAAAAAAAATCACGATACATATAAATCATAACTTGAACCAATCAGATTAGAATAAATTGAATAAAAAAAAACATAAATTATCTTTCACTATATCATGATCTCCAGCAGATGTGATCATATATCCTAAAAAATAAATATCCTAAAATACAAATCCTAAAAATAAATATCCTAAAATACATATCCTAAAAAAATAAATATCCTAAAAATAAATATCCTAAAGATACATAGCCTAAAAAGAAATATATCCTAAAAAGAAATATATCCTAATAAAAAAATCAAACAGAAATATAAATAAAAAACGAATTAAAACATAAACAAAGCAAAACAAAAAAAACATACATATAAAGAATATATAAAATACCTTAATAAAAAGAATAAAACAGAAAGATAAATAAGAGCGAATTAAAACATAAACAAAAAAAAAAAAAACATACATATAAAGAATATAACAATATCCTAATAAAAAATCAAACAGAAAGATAAAAAAAACGAATTAAAACATAAACAAAACAAAACAAAAAACATACATATAAAGAATTATAAAATACCTTGATAAAAAGAATAAAACAGAAAGATAAATAAAAACGAATTAAAACATAAACAAAACAAAAAACAAAAAAAAGCGTACATATAAAGAATATATAACAATATCTTAATAAAAAGAATAAAACAGAAAGATAAATAAGAGCGAATTAAAACAAAACAAAACAAAACAAAAAACATACATATAAAGATATAAAAATACCTTAATAAAAAGAATAAAACAGAAAGATAAATAAAAACGAATTAAAACATAAACAAAGCAAAACAAATAAAATCTTACCAAATTGAACAAGATTCCTCTGCAAGTTTGCAATACCCTTCTGCATTAATTTTCTGAATCTATTTCTCGTGCAAGCTGGAAATTCCTTTCTCATATCTCTTGCAATGTATTCTGTTTGCAAAGGATGTTAAAACACGAATACAATAGGATTTTGCGATATTGAATGTTGAGGGGGGATGAGTGTGTGTGTGTGTGTGTGTGTGTGTGTGTGTGTGTGTGTTTGTGTGTTGTGTGTGTGTGTGTGTGTGTGTGTGTGTGTGTGTGTGTGTGTGTGTGTGTGTGTGTGTGTGTGTGTGTGTGTTGTGTTTGTTTGTGTGTGCGTGTCTTTGTATGTGTGTGTGTGTGTGTGTGTGTGTGTGTGTGTGTGTGTGTGTGTGTGTGTGTGTGTGTGTGTGTGTGTGTGTGTGTGTGTGTTTGTTTGTGTGTGTGTGGTTTGTGTGTGTTGTGGTGTGTGTGTGTGTGTGTGTCTTTGGTTCTGTGTGTGTCTTTGTGTGTGTGTGTGTGTGTGTGTGTGAGTAAGTGTCTTTGTGTGTGTGTGTGTGTGAGAGTGTCTTTGTGTCCGTATCTGTGTATCTTTGTGTGTATGTGTATGTGTTTGTATACGTGCGTGGGCGTGTCTGCGTCTATGTATATGTATGAGTCCATGTGTACCTATGTCTGTGTTTGTGAAGGCAAACCAGACAACGACGAGCCAGTAATGATAAAGAAAAAAAAAAAAAAAAATGGAATGAGAAAGAGAAAGAGAGAAAGAAAAAAAAAAGAAAAAGAGAAAAGATAAAAGAAAAAGAAAAAAGAAAATAAATGAAGAAAGAAAAGAAAGAGGAGAAAGAAAAAAAGAAAAGAAATAAAAAAACTAAACAAAAAGAAGAAAAAAAAGAAAGAAAGAAAAAAGAAATTAAAAAAGCTATTATCATCACCAGGCGTAGCTGCACCCAAGAGATAGTTAAGGACATGGTATATTTAGCAACAACAGCCGTATAACCACACCACTTGTACCCTGTCTTGCTTAACAACTAGCCCAATAAAAAAAGAAATTTGGTTGATTTCCGATTTGCTTTCTGATTTATCTTAATTGACATCGACCTGAGCTTATCTAAAGTCGAACTATATAACCTCTTTTACAACTTGAAAGGAAGAAAAAGAATTGCATAGTTAATGAGCAGTAAGTAAGGAAGGTAATGTTCATTTCTTGTGTCTAAATCGTTTCGGTTTAAAAATACGTTTTAAGGTTTTAAGCTTATTATAGATGCATTGTTATTTCTTTCTCTCTCTCTGTGTCTGGCTGTTTCTCTCTCTCTCTCTTTCTCTCTATCTATCTATCTCTCATTCTCTCTCTATCTCTGTTTCTCTCTCTCTCTCTCTTTCTATCTATCTATCTCATTTTCTCTCTCTCTTTCTCTTTCTCTTTATTTCTATTTCTCTCTCCCTCACTTGACCGCATTCCTCCCTTCCTTCCTTCCCTCCCCTCCCTTTCCTCTCCCTCTTTCCCTCCCTCCTCTCCCTCTCTTCTTTCCCTCCTTCCCTCTCTCTTCTCTCTCTCTCCGTCCTCGATACAAATCTCCCTTTCCTATTTCCTCTCCTCTCTCCCTCTCTCCTTCTCTCTCCTCTCTCTCTCCCTCGTCCCTTGATACAAATCTCCCTCTCCTATTTCCTCTCCTCTCTCCCTCTCTCCTTCTCTCCCTTGCTACAAACAGCGGAAATCGTTTCCGGTGTCGATCCTGCTGGGATGGAAAGCAGATCACAGAGAGAGGAGGGATCCGATGCCCTTTTATCCGGCCTTTGAAACGGACTTCCCCCTTGCTCGCCTTTGCTCTGCCAGGGAAGGGGCCACGTCAATAATCAATGTGCAAAAGGTCTGACTTTCCCGGATTGAAAATGTCTTTGCAATGAGATGGGGAAGAATGAGATGTATGATTTGTACACACACATACATAAAACACACGTGTACATGTGTGTGTGTGTGTGAATGTGTGAATGTGTGAATAGATTATGTATATACATACATACATACCTATACGTATATGTATACACACATACAACTGTATATTTATGCAAACATATAAAAGTTCGTGTGTGTGTGTTGGTGTGTATATGTCTGTGTGCTTCTACTTGATGTAAGGAGCATTCCGTTATAAGTAATTCATTACTGCTGACTTTATCATTCCCAATCACTGAATTAATATCTCGTTTTTAAATGATAATAACACTGAATTTTTTTTCTCATTTATAATCGAGGACATTGAAATTTAATTGTTTATTATTCATCAGAAAGAATAATAAATCAACATAATCAACATTTTGAAGTTTGATTTATATTTGGGTAATTATTAGTGTTTAATATTTACAGCGGTGACTGAACTAAACGTCGATTACTGTTTAGATTAAAATATGGGGAGGGGGGGGGCGACACTGGGGAGTGAATGTTTGTATTCAAATTCAATTCAATCTCTCTCTCTCTCTCTCTCTCTCTCTCTCTCTCTCTCTCTCTCTCTCTCTCTCTCTCTCTCTCTCTCTCTCTCTCTCTCTCTCTCTCTCTCTCTCTCTCTCTCTCTCTCTCTATCTATCTATCTATCTATCCCTCTATATATCTCTCTATCTATTTATCTATCTATCTCTTTCTCTCTCTCCTTCTTC